CTCAGCCTTCCAAGTAGTTGGAACTACAGGCGTGCACTACCACGCCCGGCTAATTTTTGACTTATTGTAGAGATGAAGTCTCGTCAAGTTGCCCAGGCGGGTCTCGAACCCGCGGGCTCAAGCAATGCACTCACCTCGGCCTCCCAAAGTGCTGGGATTACAGGTTGAGTCACTGAGCCCGGCCATGAACATTTTTCTTAATATCAGGTGTTCTTTCACAATATCATTTTTTGTGAAACACTTTTGTTTGAAAGTTACAGCACACTGTTTTAATGCTGCAGTCCTCCCTTAGTAGACATTTAGGCTGTTTCCCAAAATTTTACTCTTAAAATAGTCTTTTTGTGTGTGTGTGTTAGAGTCTCACTCTGTCACCTAGGCTGGAATGCAGTGACACGCTCATGGCCACTGCAGCCTCCTCCTACTGGACTCAGGTGATCCTTCTGCTGCCTCAGCCTTCCAAGTAGCCAGAACTACAAGCACATGCCACCACGCACGGCTAATTTTTTTTTTTTAACTGCTGCTTTCCTGTATCCTTGTTTGCGTGTATGATGATTTCCTAACCTAACTTTTTATAAGTAAAATTGCGCAGTCAAAGGCTATGTATGTTTTAAGGGCTTGAGTGTACATTACCCAGTTTCTCTCAGTTGATACTTGGTTTAGTAGAGATTTGAGAAGGCCTTTTGTTATCAACTCTTCCAGGCTGAGTATCATCATTTAAAACAGAAACAAAAATAACATACAGACCAAAATCTGCCAGTTTGATTGATGACAAATGATGTCTGATTCATGATTTTAAATTTGCATTTTTTGATCACTCATGAGTTGAACACTTGAAAATACATTCATGACATTATTTTTAAATAGAATGGCTTTGATTATGTTAAAATCTGGTCTTAAACACAAACAGTAGCAAAAACTTGTAGTAACAGGAACTTGTGGAATCCATCCCTGCCTTCCCCTTTTGCTTCTATCCCTGATTTAGAACCCAGAGGGCAAGTTGTAAGAATGACGTGTGTTGTTCTGTCTTCCCCCTTTTCGGTTCCTATTTCCCTGTGCTCGGATTCCCGTGTGCCAAGCAGAGGGCATCAGGCACAGCGGCCCGGCCAGTCCTCCTGCAGGTGGCGGAGTCGGCCTACAGGTTTGGTCTGGGCTCCATCGCTGGAGGTCAGTACTGCATGAGTGACCATCTTACATTCATTATTCCTGCTGTCCTTTCCCAGAGGCTCCCTCCCAACCAGTCGAGGCAGCCTGCTGTAGCCTTGCCTAAGCCACGTACCGGTACGCCGACGAGACAGGGAAGAAAACAGGAAACAGTTGTTCCTGTTCCCATCTCACTTGTCCCTGTTCCAATCTTGCCTGTCCCTGTCTCCATCTCATGTGTTCCTGTCCCCATCTCGCTTGTCCCTGTCTCTATCTCATGTGTTCCTGTTCCTATCTTGCTTGTCCCTGTCCCCATCTCACTTGTCCCTGTCCCCATCTCACGTGTCCCCGTTCCTAGCTCACTTGTCCCTGTCCCCATCTCACGTGTCCCTGTTCCCATCTCGCTTGTCCCTGTCCCCATCTTGCTTGTTGTCCCCATCTCACGTGTGTCCCTGTCCCCATCTCACTTTCCCTGTTCCCATTTCAGGTTGTCCCTGTTTCCTTCTCCCATACCTGCTTGTGTCAAGGACTTCCAAGTGGCATTCTTCCCCCACTTCCTATAGACAGGCTTTTTAGACAGCACAATAATGAGGTTAGGCTTTAGCACTGTGTTTTTTATTTAAACTGTCTGTGGCCCTCTCTTATAGGGGAATACTTGAATAAAAGCCCACAATTGTTTATAATGGGTATAGAAAGGTAGCACTGTTTTAAAATCTATACATGTAAAACTTGATTTTTTCCTCTGTTTTCTTTGTCCTGAACCCACTCCTATTTCCCTACAATTGTCCTCATTCTTTCTGAAATGTCGGTATTGTTTCACTTCAGCTGTTGGCGCCACGGCTGTGTATCCTATTGACCTTGTAAAAACTCGAATGCAGAACCAACGGTCCACGGGCTCTTTTGTGGGAGAACTCATGTATAAGAACAGCTTTGATTGCTTTAAGAAGGTGCTGCGTTACGAAGGCTTCATTGGACTGTACAGAGGTCAGTGCTGTGCCCAGCTCACGTGAGGTGAAATGGGAGTTGGGTGGGGTTTCCCATCCCAGTGCCTGAAATGAACCAGAGAGACAGGCCGAGCATGGAGTCAAGGCAGCTTCTCAACTCTCCACTCGATAGAATTGACTTGGGCACCCAGGGTGTGGTTAATCCACATAGCCCATAGCCAGAAAGTCATTTCCATTGCTCCGTTACATGCTTTATGTCCTAAAATAATACATTATTTTCAAAAACATCTTCAGTGATTTTTTTTTTTGTGGGGGGAGCAGGGGTTGAATCAGTGTCTCACTGTGTTGCCCAGGCTGGAGTACAGTGGCACGATCATGGCGCACTGCAGCCTCCACCTCCTGGGCTCAGGAGATCCTTCTGCCTCAGCCTCCTGAGTAGATAGGACTAGAAGTGTGCGCCATTACATCTGGCTAATTTTTTGACTTTTTTTAGAGATGAGGACTTGCTTTGTTGCCCTGGCTAGTCTCAAACTCCTGGGCTTAAGCGATCCTCCTGTCTCAGCCTTTCAAAGTAAGTTTTTTAAAGGCTCATGTTGTTTGTGTTCTTGACGTACTCTACCACCAGCAGAGGGAAAGACATTCTGGGAACAGAACAAAGTTTCCTGGGTATTAATGATTCTCTTGGAATAGACCACAAAGAAGTCTGTCAAGCAGGTAACTACCAAGTAGTACCCAAGGGAACCCTGCTTTGCGGTCTCTTCCCCAGTTCAAGTTACCGCTTTGCTTCATCTGACGGTCAGCCCAAGTGTACCACACTATAGTTGGGTAGCCCTGTGGTCTCCACCTGCTCCTTTGACCACCTAAGGTCATTAAGCAACGGTAACAGTAGCAAAGAGTATGTCATCACTCTTTGGAGAAGGTCCTTCGGGCCCTGACTGCCTTTCCCTCGGCCCTGGCAGTAGGAGACGTGGCGCCCAACTTCTCTGTTTCCGTTTGCCTTCTACAAAAAGGAGAGTGTGTTGGCATCCACTGAAATATGGCATCAAAAGACTGTTCAAGCTGGGGCACTGTCAAGTTGGCAGCTGCAGAGATTGTGGGCTTCTCCCACCTGTCCCATAGGGGTGCTCACCCCAGGAGGAGGGTATTCAGTGCTCTCTCCAGGGAGTGGGTGTTCAGTGCTCACTCTAGGTGGAAGGTGTTGAGTGCTTTGGCACCCTATAAACCTGGGCCTCTGGCCTCTTCTGCCATCTGCTGACTCCAGTCTTCAAATTTAGCACCCAAGTTAAAAAGCAAAAATAACCTTTCAGAAGCTTCTCCCCTTCAAAGCTAGGAGGTTCAGCCTCCAGAAGACCCCACTGGGCAGGTCCTGTTGTGTGGGTGCACAGCCCCCATCGGGCCCTTTGATCTTTGCTCTGTGCTTCCTCTCCTCCTTCTCCGCCTCTGTCTCTTCTGGTATTGGAAGGTCTCTGACCCCTGGTGATTGATCATGATCCTACAGGGTCACTGTCTCCCATTTGGAACCTATACTGCCCCTCCCCCTATGACAACAACCTTGCAAATGAAATGGCTTCCAAGTGGTACAAGTTGAATATCACTTGGCAGCAGTCAGGTCAAAGTGACCACCTCACCTGTTCCTACGGATGGTTTTTTGAAGACTCTGAGCCTCACATCTGGGCCGATGCCTGAGTGTCAGCATTGCTGCGTGAAGTGACTTCATAGACTTTCTTGGTGTTGGGCTAAGCATCCAGGGGCCTTTGGAGTCACAAGAACCCTTCCCAGTGCTGCCGGTGTCGTGCATGTGTCTGAGCTGACTTGGGGTATTTTTCATTCTGAGTCCCTCCTTTTTCCTCTGTGACCATACCTTACAGTTCTGATTCTTGATTCCCCTGGAGCGAGCCTGAGCCCTGAGTGCTGAGCGCATGTGGGCTGTGAAGACGCTGTCCCTCTTGACACCTCAGTTCCCACATCTCTGCAATGGGCATGACTGTTTTTCATGTCTCGGGGAAGGGCAAGTATTCATTCAGGCAGAGACAGAGGCTCACTGGGCTCCAGGGGGGCTGCCCTTCACTTTCTTCCTGGGTAGAAACAGCCAGGTGACCAGCCTGCCTCAGGGCGGCATGCTGGTCTGGGCTATGTGTCAGAATGGCCAGTGGGTGTGCCCAGGAGACTGGTTCTGAGGGTCACCTGTATCCTACTGATAGCTTCTCTCTCCTAGTAGACGACTTTCGAGTAAAAGATGAGTGTAGAACTTTGGTTTAGTTCTGTTCTATAGTCTGGATCTTGAGAGAAGCAGATAACTAACAGTTCAGGTTTTCCAAAATAATAATTACTTACAACATTGCTATGAAATGATTATTCTTGCTTGGTTCGGGGTCAACTTTCTTTCTTTCGTTTCTTGCTTCTGGCACATAATCATTCATTAATAATTGTGTGTAACTATATATTTACACATGCTTGTTGGGCAAGACAGAGATCAGATGAAAATGCAGGGTGCTTAGGAGAAGCCATCATTGTTAATTTTAGAAATTATAATAGAAATAAAAAAAAAACTGAAGTGTTTCTGAGACTCAGTAGTATAACCTTGATGTACCAAGTCAAGCTCTAAATGCCTGTGTGTAATTCTCTGCATATTTCTCCTTAAGTGTAATGCTATTACTTATAAAATTATTGCAGGGGAAACTGTTCATTTTAAATCTTGAGAATATAGACTTGCTGCCTAGTGATATTTGGGAGTGTTCGAGCATATCTGTGACTTAGAAACATGTTTTGAATATGGAGTGTATTTTTCCATGGTTGTATTGAGAATTTTGCTGAACATGACACTTTTCTCCGTCAAGACATACATCATTGCCGGTGTGTCCTGGATGGATGATCTGGGAATGTTGCACACACGAGGTCTCTCCCCTGTTGTAAAGTTACCCTTGTGTATACTTGAAAAAAAGCTGGCCGTTGGCCCTGAAGAAGGTGGCTTTGCAGCATAGGCCCTTGTTGTCAGACTCACAAGTCCCTCTCTCCACCATTCTTTTTTTTTTCTTATAACAACAGTCCAAGAAGCTGCTTTGTATTTAGAGCTCCCTTTTGCAGAACACTCCTGCCCCCACCGCCACTCCCTCAGCTATTTGCCCCTTGGCTGGGGAGGTGGGGGCGCCTGCTTCTGCACAGAGCCCTGGAGCTATTGGGTATCACCAGAGACTGTAGTGGTGCCCTGGTCCCAAGGAAGCCCCAGCACTGTGGCGGTGGGCCTGCTGGTGAGGCCTTCGGTGTCCCCGTGCCAAGTCCGGGTGACTTTCTTGTTGTGAGTCAGTGGTGTCTGCTCTGGGTGCATCTGCCCAGCTCTGCTTCTCTGTCTCTGAAGTCTCTTCCTCATGTTTTGAGTAAGTTTTGGTTTCTGGAAAAGAACCCCTTAAAAGTCCTGGGAGACAGGCTCTGAAACCTTCTCTATAACGCAGTCTGCTATATATATATATATATAGCACGTGTGTGTGTGTGTGTGTGTACAAGAAAATGGCTGATTTCCCTTGTTTTGGGGGAAGTTTTGAACACCTAACCTCAGGCTAAGTCTGTCTGTTTCAGGGAAACGGCACCTGAGATAACCCAGGTCTCTCTGAGCCCCTAGTACAGTCTTCCTGCTTGGTCTCTAGGGTGATTTAACTGCTCAGGTGCTTGGGTCTTTAATGAATTACCTGACAGCTCATTTGGTTTGAATGACCGGCATGACCAAAGGAGACCCCACTATGGCCTGCTGTGGCCTCAGTGTCCTAAAGAGAAACAATTGATTGGGTAATCATCCGTAATTAATCCTCTTCACCTTCTGGGAATAACTAATTTCTGCTTTTAAACCTTGCTGCATTTGTCTCCCTCAGATGCTTCAGGCTATGAGGTGAGCAGCCTTAGGAACTGAAAAATGTTCTGAGAGGATCTTGGGGGGAAAGATGTGTCTGAGGGAACTCAGGATCCATCGGAAATACTTCTTAGAGGAAGGTTTTTGTTTCTGTTGGTGGGAGAAGCCCTAAAGAAAAATCTTCCAGAAGAAGGAATTAGATCAGTTAATGAATTTAACTTAATTTGGAGCAGTACTTAACCTTTGAGGAAATTGGCACACAAAAAAATGGGTAAACCCATTGATGCCTACTTGTAAAGTGTTAAATGTGTCTATTTCAAGTTACCTGGGTGGTGCAAAGCAGTCATCTTCCATGCTGGAATGTTCTCAAGGTGACATCTAGAGGATGCTGTGGTGATGTCTCAGGAAGTTATTGATACGCTTATGTTCTAGAAGGAGGTTTTGCCAGGCAGCTGGGTTAAGTTCGGTCTCCTCCGTGGTTGATGGTTCTGTAGGAGGGAGAACCCGAATGCTGTGGGTTTACAGTGAGATTCTTTCTTCTTGTGTCATTCTCACAGATACAAATAATCACATAAATTCTAGCACCAAAATGAATTGGTTGAAATTTCCCTGACTTGTTTTGTATTACTTAAGAACATGTGCCTCTTAGGACAAAGCACAGTTAATCCACAAATTGCACTAGTGTCCATCCGTGTCCACAAAACTTTTAATGAATGCTAAGTGGTTTGGTCTGAGTCTTGTTTTCTTGGCCAATTTCTGCTCATTTTCATTTAGGGTATTAAGCTGTGAAAAGTTCAGATTTGTGTTTGGTTATATTTGGTAAATGAGAATCAGCAGAAGACATGGATGGGTCATGGGTTGGGTTATCAAATCTTCAGAACTCTCCAGTGCAGCAAGCACAGGATGTTGGAACCTAAGGGGGCACAACTAGGGACCATGACCAGAGGATGGAACTGTACGTATACTACGGAGGAGAAGGTTGATGAAGCACTCGTTCCATGCCTTGGGATGACCATTTATGACAGCTCCTGTCATTGCCAAAACTGAAACAAGGGAAACAGGCTAAACCTTAGCGGGAGGGAAATAATTCAGATCCCAGGAAAGACAGCCAGGGTGTCTGTCCTAGGTGACCCTGGAAAGTCAATGAGCCTTTCTCCAGTGATCTTCACCCCAGAAAGCCCCACAGTCGAGTGGTCAGG